CGCTCTTCAGCCACCCCACTCACCTCAATATTTGGCAGTGTTATTGTCACCTGTTCACCTTTGCCAACTTCAAGGTCTCCTTCACAGGACATATCAATAGATGCAGGCTTAAAGTCATCTAAATATAAAAACAAACTGGATTATTTACAAGCTTTTCAGGAATCTTATAAATGTAGACACCTTTTAATTGCAGGTGGAGGCTATTAAGTTAAAGCCTTTTTTGCTAGTGTATCATCTACCATTCCCCTGTGCAGATTATTCCATAAGTCAGTAGAATTCAAAGTCAAGACAGTTTTCTCAAGATTCAATGTAAGTGTTAAAAACTGTTGGTTAAAATTAAAAAAATGCTTTTAGGTTCTAATGGATAAAAAGGCTGAAAAGCTGTGTTGTATTTCAAAAGATAAATCCTCACATAATTATTTTCAGAAAAATCCATAAACGGTTCTTGAAAATGTTGATCCCAAACAAGGGAGATGTAGGCAAGTGACTGAAAATGCAAAGAACAGCATCAATCCTCAATATCCATTTCTGATTTTACTATAACATGTATGTCAGAAGCTGACCAAAACTTGAGTTTCAGTATGTTTATTTTTGTGAAAAGTGAAATGACTTCCTAATTAAATATTAATTTCCTTTTTGCCTTTTTAAAAATCTAAAGTATTGATTAAAATAAGTTTTAAACAAAAGAAGATATCAATTTCTGGTCATTTTAAAAAATCTGAGACATTGAAAAGAAGCACATGTTCAGGAATCAGCACTGCAGCTATGTAACACACCATTATCTATAAAATATTATTTCCACCACAAATGAATTGGGAAGGGCTACAGCTAAAGGGCCTGCCTGCACAGATCTAGGGAGATAGGACGGCATCAATAGGCTCTGCAAGGCACGTGGTAACATATGTGGGTTTGAACCCGTGGTTCCAGCAAACGCAGGCGCAGGGCCAGTCTCGCACCCCGAGGATGGCTGGTACCCTGCCTCACACCCTGGGGAGAGGCACCCTATTGCAGCTTAAGAGAGGGACGGAGGGACCAGGCACGTAAAGAGGACCCATTAGACGACACGTTCCCTGGCCACGGCACACGCTCCTCGCCTCACAACCTGTCACGTCACCCGCTGCTGGTCGCAGGCGCCAGCACTGTTATGGCTGGGGAGCTTCCCAGTTCAATAACTGCCTGCAACCCACAGGCCAGGCGGCACAGACCACAGCTGGGAACCGTGGCTCCAGCTTGCACACCAGCTGGGCAAGAAAACCAAGCTTCAAGAGCTGGTGGGCAGGACTATGCACGCAGCAGGCGGCTTTGAGCTAAGACACAGGTAATAGCCCCTGCTAACTTTGTTTGCGGCAAAACCCCACACGTTGTCTTAGAGGGATAAACCTACAATAGTTCCAAAGTTTGTCACCAAATTAGAGAATGTTTGCTTTAATATACGGCCACTGGGTGGTTAATACTTTAGAAAATTAAGATATTGATTCCAGTGCCTATATACGGACTTCTGATCTTAACTTTTAACCAGCAGATGTCTCCCCCTTTACTTATTTGTTAACAAAAATTTCAGGTGCCAAAGAAGGATATTTTTGCATGTGCATTTGACAGAACAGATGAATGTGACAGTTCCTACGTCTCGTTAGTTGGAAAGGAAGAGAGATTTCAAAACAGATTTCAGAATAAATCATCAAATTACAGGACTCAGCAAGAAATCGTAAAGGTAGGAGGTACCAGACATGGTTTTTAGTCCTCTTTAAAATTAGGGTAAATTTCACGTTACAGCATTTGTTTAAATCCATTTATAGCTTTTGCCCGCTCCCTCCCCTCCTGCAGTTGCAGACAATCCTACTAAGTGCCGTTCCATTTGCTTACAGAAAGCACATTATCCATCTCACTGCACTGCGTGAGAGCATACGGGGCATTCTCCAGAGAACGTACGTGAGACTGAATCTCGGGGATCAGTCTATAAATAATGAGACATCAAAACCAGAAGCAGCAGTCCTAAATTACCAGAACTATAATCCTGAGAGCATTTGTTTCCTAGCTACCCTCAGAATCTTTTGAGGGCACACCTCTTTAGATAGTAATTAGGTACTCAGGGAGGGTACACTAGCTTTGTGATTAATACTGCCTTTAACCTTTGATTGCTGAATTGTACTTAACTTCTAAAAACTAAGCACAAGGAAAGAGGGCAAAGTCAGAGAGTTCAGCCTAGTTTGGCTTTCATCAGAACTGCATCGAGACAGTATTCTGGATGCAAAAGGTGTAAAAAGTGAAGTTAGCGCCCAGAAACTAGCAAAGGCCAGTACTGGGATAAAACAGCCGTACACCTCACCAGCAACATGCTCTCAGGAGCGACTGAAGCCTGACCTGCCCCTTGCCCCCGAGCCCCCGGGCCGGCCCCCCAGCCATAGGGACTTAGCTCCCAGGTGTGCCCCAGAATCCCGGGACGAAGGTGGCCAATTCATTTCGGCTTCCCGGACCCTACCTGACCGGTATTTCAGCTCCTGTCAGGCTACCGGGCCCCCGAATCCCGTCGCAGCGCAAATAAATCCCGCGGTAGTTTTGCCACGCTGCCCTTCACCTCCCCCAGCGCCCGGCCGCGCCATGCCCTCCCTCACACCGAAGCCCGTCCGGGCCTGCTCCG